GATGACTTTCGCGTACCGCAGCATGCCGCTGCGCATGAACGCCAAGCGTTGCTTCTCGTCATGCGTCCCGTGTGGGACAATGCCCAATGACCCATGCCCAGTAACTGTCATGGGAAAGTCAGCAAGGCCGAGGATCTCATCTGTGGATACCTGCAGCGTACATGTCATTCACATTGCAATCACGTGAACGTGAATGTGGCGCTGCTAGCTGATGGCTGTGCGCAAAAGATGGGGCATAAATACACATGTAAAGCACACAGGCGACCGTCGTAGCGTCACGACCGTCGCGCAAGGTACTGATAGGCATGCCAGGAGGCAAAGCCTGCAAAGACGGGTGTGAACCAGCAGAACAGGTCTCCAATCTCCCGCAATCCTCGGAGGTGCACAGGGATTTCCACGTAGCTGCTGTCCTTGGCGACGTATATTTCTTTGCCGGTCGAATTGTCCACACCAGTAGCTTGCCTCTCTCGCTTGTGCCTTCCTCCGACAAAGTCTCCATCTCTGTAGAACCTGTCCATCAGATCATCCTTTTTCCTCCAGCGGTCCTCCCGCAACCACACATCGAATGCAGCCTTTTCCTCGTCCATCGCATCCTGCACTCCTGTCGTTTCGCCTGAAGAGTTTTTGATCGGTGTGACGACGCCAAGTGGCACGCTCTGAGCATCCGAGACACGTAAATGAAGGTGGACGTACGGCGGTGAGACACCTTGCATGAAGATGGATCCTGTTGGGGAAGCAGAAAGAAGGTCAGAGCCCTAGCAGCGCGTAGCCAGCAGCTGCGGCGCTATACTCACTCAAAGTGTAGTACGATTGACCATAGCCGGCTGGCGGGATGCCGGGGTAGCCAATGGTAAAGTCTACCAGCTTCAGGTCGGGCGTTTGTGCAAGCAGCTCGCGCAGGCAGAACAAGATGCCTGTGCTTCTTGGCAACAACAAATTGCGACAATCGGCAAAGCGCTGCTTCTCCGCAAATGCTCTGGACGTCGGTCTGGTCAACTTTGACACCAGCGTTCCCTCTGGAAAGATGAGCAGCAGCAGCTTGGACGCCGTCGATCGCTTCGTGTTGGCGCCGCTGGACATGAAACGCAGATGCCTGCCCAGCGTCGCCTGATCTTTGCTCCACGATCTCGAGAGAAAGATGAAGCGGAAGAAGATCATTCCCTGCGGCGTATCGCAGCAAGGTGAAAAGCACGCGTGTGAGGATGGCGATGCCGATGCACAATGTCCGA